GCGATGACCTGAAGATGTCGGCCGGTGCTTATCTGAAAACCGTCCTGCTTAACGTTACCAATCAGGATAGTGTCCAGAAAGCCATGGAGTTCACCAAAAATGAAGTTGGAGAGAAAGGTGAGAGATATTTTTCTCATTTTTTTAGTGTTACATCTGTTCTTAATAATTGCTTCTCTTCTTCTCTCTTTTGTAGGACTCTGGGGCATTGTAAACAACGCTGGATGTTCATTACCAATGGGCCCTTCAGAGTGGATGAGAGTAGAAGATTTCCAAAACACACTTAAAGTTAATTTGAACGGAATGATTTCCATGACAATGACTTTCCTGCCCCTCATCAAGAAGGCTCGCGGCCGCATCGTCAACGTAGCATCAGTGCTGGGCCGAGTGGCCGCGAATGGTGGAGGATACTGCATCTCCAAGTTTGCCGTCGAAGCCTTTTCTGACTGCCTCAGGTCTGCTTCTGTTAACACCTTGGTCAACAAATATCTCCAGCTAACTGTTTGGTGTTGGATTTGAGATTCTGAAGCACTCGAAAAGTCAAATTAATAACATTTTTTCAAGTAAGGTCAAATCTGTTGTCAACATGTTGTAACTGTAGTTCATTTCCACATGCACTGAATGTCATCGCAGATGCAAAGCAACATTAATATGCTTTTAATATAAACGTTTTATAGCTTGAATATTGACACAAATACAAATATTTAGGTCAGCTACCATTTTTCTACTTAAAAGCTGGTAAACAATTATTCATTCCAATTATTACTGTAGTATTTTAATTAAAAACAAAAAAAATGATTTGGTTTGTGAACATTTTGTATCTAGGAGGGACATTAACTACTTCGGAGTTAAAGTTTGCATCATCGAGCCGGGCTTCTTCAGAACCGCCGTGACGAGCCTCGACCCACTGGAGAGGGAACTGCATCGCTTGTGGAACCAGCTCAGCCCTGACGTCCAGGCCAGCTATGGAGACAAGTACCTGGATAAATGTATGCATGTTTCAATACAATGGTGTTCTTTGTTTTCAGGTCTGCTCAATATACACATGCAGTATTTCAGAAAAGTACCACAGTGTGTGTTTTTCAAATTCTATTATAATCTATACTATCCTATACTGTACTCTATTATACAGTCCTGTACTGCACTGTAGATATCATACTATTCTATGCCACACTTGACTTTAGTATACTGGACCATGCTATGAGATACTCAACTGTACTATAATAGACAATGTCATACTTAAATCCATTGGACTGCACAACACAGCAAGTGCACTAGCCTTCAAAGTGCTATGCTATGCTATGCTATGCTATGTTATGATTTTGTAATTAACTATCCTATGCCGTCCTATGTCATGCTACAGTATGCTACACTACACTGTACTGCACTGTACAGTACTATACTATACCATACTATACTATACTATACTGTACTATACTATACTATACCATACTATACTATAATATACTATACTATACTATCCACCAAGCAATTAGGCCTCACACAGTTATCGACAAACCCTTCATGCTATCACAAGCCACATAATGTACACAATCCTGTACGTTTGTGGATCAGAGAAAAAAAACAAAACTTTTATATGTGGTTGATGAATAAAATAACTGCGACTCCTTCTGCTGTTGTACTCTCTCTCCCCAGACATCAAAGTCCAGCGTTTGATCATGAATGCAGTGTGTGACTCTGACCTGACAAAGGTGACCAGTTGCATGGAGCATGCTCTGACTGCTGTGCACCCACGCAGCAGATACAGCGCTGGCTGGGATGCTAAACTTCTCTGGATCCCGCTCTCTTACATGCCTTCCTGTGTGGTGGACATCGGACTGAAGCTGGTGCTGCCTCGTCCATCGAAGAGTGTGTGAATGTTGATGGACTGTCACCAGTGTGTAGGGTTAAAATAGGTCACATCCGGCTCACATATTCTTTAGGGCCAATTTAAACAGAATTGTCTGTAAACATTGTCTTTTGCCAAGTGTATTATTGTTTTTGAGACAGATGTTATTCACTGCCAGCTGAATACAGATAATTTTAGAGATGTTAATTTTTTCAGATTTAAAATATAAGCAAACAAACCAGTATAGAAATTAAATGGTTTTAGCTTCATTAGTGCTCTAACATATGGAAAGCTAAAACACAGCTTGTCACATTAGTTTTTTTTCCCACAGCACCACAATAAAAAGGAGTTGTGTGACTTTGCCATTATTTATATTAATTAACGAGGAGCTATAAAAGTTGTAGCAGTTTGGTTCTATTTTCAAGCACAAACTCACACAGAGTCTGGAACATTCACCAGCCCGGGGTTCAGCTGGCTCATCTTTGATTTATAACAGTTTGTGTTGAACAACAGCAGGTGGTGCCATTAACCCTGGTGGCTCGCGCCATATTATACAAGTTAGCACACAATTTATTTGTCTGCATCGGATTATATGAAATGTGGTCTTGTACATTTATGGGCCTCGGCACAAAAACAGAGAAATAAAACAAATATGCCTCGTTGTAAGGTAATAAAAGTGTATTCATTTTAGTATGATTATTATTTTAAGACAAAATTATTAAAATAATTATAAATATATTTAAAGATTTAAAGATTGTAGATGGGTAACTTTCAACTGGCCGTTATTTATACACACAATGAGCCAGCCAATAAAGCTATTTTGACAGATATTTGTGACTTTTTCAGGGCCTTAAATGCATTAATATTGTATTATGTATTGTACATTTCTGTAGTTTAGATTGTGTTACACTTTAATTTAAGTTCGTATAGGTTCACACAGGTCTATTTCGCGTTGCACATTTAAACTCTGTCCCCATTTGCTTACATTATGGAATCGGCGAAGACAAAGACGAAAGATGAGCAAAGCTAAGTGAGGACACAGTCAGTTCCACTCCAATGCTAAATCTACCACACCAAAGTTCCAAGTCAGTGCTTGGCTGGCAGATTGCCTCCCTAGTTGCATTATTGATGCAACAGTATTGACCACTGCTGCTCGTCTGTATCAATTTCCAGTCAGATAAAAGAAAACGGCGTCAGAAATTTTGTCACTGGATACGACGTGAAAGAGAAGAAGGTCAGGCAGCTTCCCCCCACTGGCCTTTGCATCTACGCGTAGCATCTAGTGTGTAATGACAAAAGATATTATATGAAAAGCATACAACTGATACTGCTAATAACGCCGCTAATGCTAATTATAGCCGCTAACTTTGTTATTTTGACAGCCACTACTGTAAATGGCTTCCACTTCATTTGTTTTCATGACTAACTGTGGAGGTTTAGCACTTCTGGCTCACATTATACGGGGCGGCTAATTAATCAGCTCAGAAACACTTTGATGGCGCCATATGGCTCATCATTCGTCTGCTGTTGTGGTTAAAATTTAATCTCACCGCCAATTTAATGATCTGTATGGGCTGTAATATTTTAACAAACAGCCTCCTCCAGTTGGAGGAATTTGTCACTGCTATTCTCCAGTTGCACTTTTACTAAATTTGTTTGCACCGTGACACTTCATAAAAGTATTTCCCAGGTATATATATATATATATATATATATATATATATACATATATATATATATATCAAGGTATTTGTACGTTAATTACACCATTTAAAGAACAACAAATTAAAGGTTGCTTCTACAACAAATATCATTCAGTGCTGCTATTTCTGGTAGGAAAAACACATTAATGATCACAATAATTAATCTGTTTTGTTCCTGTCAATTAGGGAAACGGTGACAGCCAATCAGCTTGACTCTTGACAGTGATGAAGCTGAACAGAACGCTGCTTTAATTTCATTTGATTAATTTGTGCCCAGTGCACCTGTCATCTCCCGGGCATCTGTGTGCCTGTGTGCCAGTGTGTGTCCTATAGTTTTTGTTGTTTCATCAATCAGGACGTGCTGGATATGCACATTTTCATTCTTCGTACATTAAGCCAAGGTTTCTCATTCTACTGTATATTATCCATATAGAAAGCCATATTATATTTTTTACACTGAACTCATTTATTAAACGTAACTAATATGGATGTATTTGAAGTGAAAACGTGTTATTAAATGTTAAACAGCAATAAATCACCTGAAAAACGCCTAATAACACTACAGCAATAAACAAATGTTATAGTTAGCATGAGTTTACACAAGTATGACATTAATTAATACATGATACAAAAACAACGTCGTTTATTTACGTAAACTTAAGTTAAGTGCCATAGAAGTAAACGTTGATGTGGTTCAAGGCAACTACTTAGTTTGGTTGTTGGTTGTTTATCCACAAGATGGCACTATCTCACCATTAAATACCTTTTTGAACCCTAAGGTTAATAGGTACACTCATGTGAAAAGAAAAAAAAGATTTGGTCAAATACACGTTGAGTCCGAATGAAACGTTACCCATTGGTATTTCTGTTTGTGAAACTATTTATTTATTTCAGAATGACTCTTCCACTTCTATTTGTCCTTTAATTGCTCTTTTACCGGCACTTATGCTCGTTTGCATTATGTGATGACAATATCTACTTGCAACAAAATTGACAATAAAAATTACATACAAATGAAAACAGACAAAAAAAAAATCACATACAGCAAGTATGTGTTATAAACATTTTTATTCTGCTGGTGGACAGGAAAGGAGGCCAAATCTGATTCATCCCTGGTCTCCATGTAGATCGTCTTTATACTCAACCCATGATCTGGAAACGTAAGAACAAATGAGTCAGCATGTGTCTGGTCAAAGTACTTAATGTAACACATGTGTAACACAGCCTGTGTGGTTTTACAAATAATAACAAATAATTATGATAAACATAATGTTTTCAATACGTACGCCATTCATCCAGCTGATGTAAGCGGAGGCACGGGTGAAAACGGTGGGCTTCTTGGGGTAATTGCAGCCGTAGGACGACACAAAGCTGGTCACACCATGGACAACCCAGCGGCCGTCGACGCTGCAGTTCAGGGGTCCACCAGAGTCACCCTGGGGTCAGGGACATGAGGGATATTACAGGCAAGAATTCATTCAAGTGATGGCTTTATCTCAGCCCCTTCAACCTGTTCTACAGCTCTTCAACCTGTTCGAAAATAGATCCTTCTGCTGTCATTTTGTCTCAAACAGGTTTGTGCAGAAGAAAGGTTTTTGAGGTTGACGTGCGGTACAGCTTACTGTCAGCCCAAGCCTGGATCTTTTGAACTGATGCCCTGGTTGATGCAGCATGAAACTTCAGAAGTGTTCTGTAAAATGTCTTATCTCACAGGAAGAGGTCAGGCCTGACTGTGGTGTCACTGAACTAGATCTTCACATGTTTTCTAAAGAGTTTCATGGTTAGTCTGTATCTATTCAATTATATGAAATCATAATTCATCAGTAATAAGTATAATTAAAAAAAGCAATCCGCCGTAACATAAACCGGTTTCCCGTGCTCCTGACTAGAAAAATAAATAACAAATCTGAACAGAACCCTCACCTGGCAACCAGACTCACTGCCACCACCAGCACAGACCATGGTGTCCTTCACGGTGGAGCCCCACCATCCACTGCTGGAGCAGGTCCTGTGGTCAACAACAGGCAGGTAGGCCTGCTTCAGCTGGGCGGAGAGCTGACCTCCAGCTGGAGACAGCAGAATAATTTATAGATCACAGCCAGTCCAGAGTTAAACAGTAAACACTGAGCAGATCCATTCATCATAGAGTGTGTCCTGGTGCCAGACGTACTTGCGGTGCGTCCCCATCCAGTGATGTAGCAGGGGTTGTTGTGGGACAGGACTTGACCAGAAGGAGGGAGGGCACCAAGCTGGACGTAGTTGTTCAGGGTGACTTCAGAGGACAGGCGCAGAAGTGCGATGTCATAACTGAAACGCAGGTTGGTGGATGAGACCAGAGCAACCACAATGGTTGGTATATTGCTCTAATGCAGGCATGGGCAAACTAAGGCCCGGGGGCCGGATGCTGTCCGTTCAGCTTTTTAATCCGACCCGCCAAACTTTTCAAAATTAAATTATTTATTTAATTTTATCATTATACTTCTGCTTTTTTCATGCAATACCCACGTTTCCCCAATAGATGGTGTAGAAAATGCTAAAAGCAAGTTAGCATTTATGCATGATTTCATTTATCTTAGTTCACGCGAACTCTCCATCTATCGGCTCCGGCTTCCCTGTTCAATTTTAGGACAATTGTGGCGCACGAGTCAAAACGTTAGCCCACGCCTGCCCTAAGGTAACATTTCACCAGTACTTTTACAGTAATTCACTGAAGTTGTCTCTGCGTTAAAGCTACAGGATAGTGAGGCCGTGTACGTAAAGGTCAAATGTAAAATTTCTTCTTTTAAAGATTTAAAGTTTAGTTCTTTAATAACCGTTTAATTAACACAAGTGACAACAACACGTAACTCTGGTTAGTATTTTGGACACCATTACACAAAGTATATATGTTTATGTTTATACTTACCCTCCAGCAACACTAGCAGAGTTCCACCTGGGGTGGAGGTAGACCTGGCTCACACCCATGTACTGCTCTCTGCCCTCTTGGGAGTTCAGGTTGTGCTCTCCGACAACAACGCGCCAAGTCCTGCGGCTGTAGGGGATCAAGAACGTAAAGGTTTCTTTGTAAAAGTAAATAAATTAACCATAGTAAGCTCCGTCACAGCGGTGCTGCGTTTTAACATTTAATATTTAATATTTATGTCAACGTCTTATGCCGGAGACTCGTACCTGTCAACGCAGTGGGCCGCGGTCATGACCCATCCCCTCCTGATCAGGGTTCCTCCACAGGTGTGGTAGTAGTTGTTGCCACTACCCATGTACTGAAGAGAAATCTGTGTGAGGGTGAAAGAGGGGAGAGGGCAGTACAGATCATTAGCCATTTAACGACTCCCTGTCTCTGCCTGTTTAACCTCACAGAGAATCCTTTAATGAAGCAGGGAAATATTCTGACACTGTTGTTTTCTTTTCATAACACCACGCTTAAGCAGTTTTCTTAAACTATACATACATTCTTCCTATAAGCCCAAAAATATTCTGACAGTCATTTCACCTGCACAGTGCCTAGAGTATTTGAAATCATGCCGTGACTCCACTCCATTCTACCATAAGATGATGAGAATTATTTCCTCTTCCCTCAAGTCAAGTGTATTAACTGTACCTGCCAGGGCCAGGAGTTCGCTCTCGCCACTTCACCTCCCACTACTCTCTCTTCAGCGCTGTCATCCTCCAAGTACCTGGGCTGAGGCTCCAGCTCAGCCAGCACTGAGCAAAGAACAGAACATATAACAGTCAGACATAATGTTTTTGGACAAAATGTGCTGAAGTATCAGGTGAGGAAAAACGGTTTCGTTTTTAACCTAAGGCTGCGAGAGAAGTGAAGAGAAGGAATCTGAGCATGTCTGTAGTCTCCGAAAACTGTCTGCACTGGACACTGGAGTCGACTCTACTTATACTTTACGTGGTCAGGCATGTGTATTTTGTCTGTGAGTGTGTGTGTGTGTCCCAGCTGACATGCACCTGTGTCTGTCTCACTGTTATCACCATGTTTCCTGATTAGCTGATGCAGCAAAGGAACCATTTATTTTTAGTCCCAGGTGAATGTTTGGCCTTGTCCTTTAATGCACTTTCAAATGATTTTTACTCTGCAAAGTTTCCTCGGTGATACGGTCTCATCGAAACCAGACCCTGGCATGAACTATACTCAGGTTGTTTCATCATCATCTTATAAAATTGTAATTAAACAAAAGGCTTAACAATCTGTACACCATATGTCCACACCGTCCTTGAACCCTCATGCTGCGTTTGAGGACGTTTGCTCCATGTTAAAAGATACAGGAAGTCCCG